TTAAAAATTGTTGAATAAATAGAAGAACATTAATTATTAAAATCATTTGCTACTCGTTTAATGACCGACTAATTGGCTGAGAAGCGGGCAATGAAGTGTTTTTGAAATGTTGGTTGGTTTATTCGAACAACACGTCTGCTATGTGCTAATTTCTGTTTTTTTTTTATCTTCATAATGCCTCATGATAAGTAGAAAATTATAAGTTTGAAAATAAAATTACACATGCATATACACAAACAAACATATATATATATATATATACAAATAATGTTCGAAAGAATCATTTTTTCATATTTCTGGGTTTTCGATAAACATAATCTTAAGCTAAAGTTGAATACTGAAGATGATGAGCTAATTAATATGATAAATCAAACTGTCTTAGGTTCGATTCTCGTCAGGAATAAAGTGGTTCCGTGGTGAGGAAGATATCCCAGTGGATCCAATTAAATGGTTTGTGCCATTAGAGGAAAAAAAATGTAAACGTCAAGACGAAAATTGTGAAATATTTGGCAGTCAAACAAATTTTGAAAAGATTTCATCCTATTCGAAATATTTTTAATTAACCATGGTAACTTAATGTTCCATTTCAAGTACTATATTCCTAAGATTTTTAGGCAATTGAAGCAATTGACTAGGTTAAATGATTATCATCACAAGATAAAAAAAGGTAAAATCAAAAGAGTGAGATCAATTTTCTCATCGATATTACTTCTGATCGGCTCTATTAATTATTGTGTTTCAAAGTTAGAATTCTATTTTCGACAAGAATAAGTAAAAATTTAACATCACAGCCAGTTGAGAGAACTTAGTCTGAAAGGTGATCGTTACCCAACTGAGCCACTTGAAGACAAGAATTTCCTATGAATTAAAGTAAATTGACTCAATACTTTAAAAGAAGTAAGAAAGCTGGGAACTTTGATTTTTTGCCATCTGATAATGCACAAAGCAAAAATATAAAATTATGAGTGACAGTAAAGTAGTTGTCCGACCTTTTATGTGAGTGGTTAAAAAAATAAAAATTTAAAAAAAAATAAAAAATACAAAAATAATCTATTAGGCGCTGGACGAGAAAATATTGAATTATTAGAAAAATGACTGAAAAATTGCCCAAAATTCTCAAAATTTATATTATTTTTGAGCTATTCGAATTGAGTTACTCTTTTCGAAGATGGAAGGGCAAAATTATTATGTCTATTCACTGATGATATCCCTTCTTTTTGTTCACTCCGTGGCGTTTTTATTTATATTTTTTATTTCCTAACTAAACAGATTTTTAGAGGATCTTGATAAGGATAAAAAACGTCGAGCATCTATTACTTCACTATCATTATAACATCCGTCTTCTGCGCTGTACGTTTATCACTTAATGATTTTCTGTTAATTTTCGTAGAATTCAAATTACCTATTAATCCAGGGAATTCTTATAACTTATAAAAAATCTTTAATTTTCTAATCGATAATCGGTTATATTCTATACTCGTTTACTCGATAAATTTTCTAATTGTTTGACGCAAATTTTTAAGTTTTAAGTTCCATTAGCTTAAAAAATATTTGCTTCACATTCTTCATATACAATCTCCATAAATTCTAGACCTGTAATCGGTCATTAAAAGAAAAATCTGGGTGGTAGCTGGTAATTCAATCTGATTAAAATGATCATATCAGTTAGTGAAGCTGAACCAAAAATAGTGATTCAATGAGGATGAAGATAGAAGTTGGCAGCGCTGAAAAAGATAATCAGATAAGAAAGAAATACCCACATATTTTATGTAAATAAACCTTCGCATGCATTTAGTTTACCAATCTTTTTTACATGTTTGCAATCGATAAATAAATTTTTTCAATAGTTTTTCTCCTTTTTTTCATAACTTTTCTCGTTTTTTTAAATTTTTTTTACTTGTTTTAATCGAACTACTTGACAACTATTTTTTTGTTTCTTAAAAATTTTGAAGTTGCGAAAAATCAAAAAAGAAGAAACAAAATAAACGTATAACAAAGAGAGTAAATTTGTAGATGCGTTAAAAAAGACGATGGACAACATTTGAAGAGTTCAGCCAAGAGGCCATCTTCTCCCGGAGTCTTATTAGCCTTAAGCTTATGGATGAAAAGATTTATTGTGAAAAAAATCCGCACTATATATCTTAAATTAGCAAATGGCACCATTAACCTAAACACTCCAATTCAAACCATTTATTTTGTTTTTTACTGGATTTTTTAATAAAATTTATTTTTAAACAATTTTTAATCTATATTTTTTGCAAATTTAGTGAACCAATGAATTATTCATAATAAAATTCACTCGTTAAAATTCAATTCGTTGTAAAAATTTCGTCAAAGAACAGTCAATGCAAATGAAATCCCAATGTTTATTGACATTCAATAAATTTTTGTCAAAATAAAAAATTATTTGACTGAAATTGTTCAGTATAAAAATAATTATAAATTTAACTTAGTATTAGTGGTAAATCACTGCTTAGTTAGGGAATAAATTGGAATCATTATTTATTCTATCAACATAATTAATAAAAAAAATAAAACTGAAAACAATTTAAATAACTCAGAATACTCATTTTTAATATGCCATAAATCGTTTATTTCAAATATAAAGGAATCATTGTTTTCTACCAAATGATACTAAATTTTCTCTTTCAAGCGCAACATTCGTAAATGCGATGAATAAATGACTTTATCAAGAAAAAAATCAATGATTCAATAATTCAAGCAATTTGGCTAGTCAGCTTGGCGAGATCCTCAGCTGAAATACGAAATAAATAATATTTGTTGTTGTACTACTATTTATACTTATTATTTTTCTCATTAATTTGTTATCAAAAAGCTACTTCTATTTAATTTATTATAAAAATTTTCCAAATACCAATATTATTCACCAATGCCTATAAAAGAAAAATTAATAACTTGTTGCGAAAAAATTTTTTCATTTGAAAGCACCAGTCTAATAAAACACAAACAACAAATAAAGATTGAATCTCAACATCTTACTTTTGGATTTTAAAGTGAAATTTATCCAAAAACCATAAAACTTCTTTCACATCTGATGAGTACCACAGTATATAGCAATGAATTCCCGTTATTTTATAATTTTTGTGATAAAATATATTTGGCCTGAATCTAAAGAGATTTCTTCTTGTATTTCTAATAAATTTCTAACAGCTCACACCATTATTGGTTAGACTGGCTCCAGTGGCGACAAGGGTAACGTTTCCAAGCGGCGCGGTCTGATGCCATCGTCGACAGTAATAGAAGCCACTCTTTTTTCCATCGTCTATGTCCATATATAGCTGGTCCACCTATACGTTCAAATTCTTTCTTGACCGTAACAGTCCAGGTCTTGACTGATCCAACTCGTTTCTGACGCCATCCAACAGAGGGTTTAGCAAGTAACGAAAGTCATTCTTGTGGTGGGCGACGAAGAACGTGTTCTAACTTGTGAAGATCATGTGAGATTTCATTCCGCAAAATATAATTTAAAACTGAGTGGTCAAAGGCAGATAACTTCTTAATATCCTCCATTCTCGTTGGCTATGTCTCACAGCCATATAGCAAGACTGAACGAATCGCGGCTATACAGATGCGGACTTCCATTTTTGTTGTGATTTCACGATGGCTCCATAAAGCTTTCGTCAACCGGAAGAATGCATTTCTCACTGCCACAGTCCGAGTTGTAATATCGTCTTTTGCCTGGCCATTCGGTGTAAGTGAATCCAAGTGAATCCAAGGTATTTAAAATCGGGCATTTCTTCGACAGGCAATGAATTTATAAAAAGAGGCATTTCAGCTTCTTGTGTATAAGATAGAAAGACTTTCGGTTTATTGATACTGAGTCCGATTCTTGCTGTAGTTGCTGATACGCTGTTTAGCATTATTTGCATTTCGTCATAACTGCCAGCAAGAAGGACCACATCATCAGCACATTCAAGATCTGTGATATGAGGCTCTGGAATGATTTGGACATCTCTTGAGTGCCGACAAATGCTGTCCATTATCCAGTGTATCGCATAATTGAATATTGTAGAGAAAATGACGCAAAAATCAATTCTTATTTCAATTCTGACAGTCCCCACATATATAGACGCACACGCTCATAAAATGCCTTTACGAGTCGAATGATCTCTGAAACACTGTTGCGAGTCATCACTCTCCAAAGCGCCGCCCTAAGAATTGAATCGAAGGCAGCCGCAAAATCGATGAAACACTTGACGGCGAGTTGGTTGCAAATATTTGAAGCGATGTTCCAATGCCCTTCTTGAAGTATATATCTGGTCAGCAGAACCGCAGCCCAGTCTGAATCCAGCTTGATTAGGGCGCTATATTTCCATATATTCCGTACTTCCACAAGTCTACTGAGTAAAAAAATCTTCGCTGAAACGTCTAGCAAGCTGATTCCTCGATAATTGTTGCTGTGTATATCCTATCGCCTTTATTGAAAATTGGAAGCTTTGCTTCAGTACTATTCCCAAACCAGACAGTACATTTGTTGAAGATGTGTTAAAAAGACGATGGAGAAAATTTGAAGAATTCAGCCAAGAGAACATCTTCTCCCGGAGTCTTATTAGCCTTAAGCTTATGGATGAAGAGATTTATTGTGAAATAAACCCGCACTGTATATCTTTCCAATGCCAAAATGCAATCAAGAAAAAGAAAAAGCAATCATAGAACATGAAACGAATAAATAAATCTTAATTAATAAATCTTACATTCTTAATTAAAACTTCAATTTACAACCCTAAATCATTTACAGATATTTGTATCCGACCGTGCTATCGTTTATGGTTTTGTTTTTTGCAAATCTCTGTTTCATGTTGCATCTCTATTTGCCATTTTTGAACATTTTCTAAAATGTATTTTTTTAAAATCTTCCTAAAATTTATTTCATGTATTATTTAAAAACAGATACAAAAAAATAAAATAAAAAACAATTGAATGGTAAAGATGGATGAAAAAAGATTGAAAGAGTGATTGAAGTTATTCAAAGGAAAAAATTAACCTCGTAACCGCATATATTTTTCTATTTGTTGAGTAACAAATTTATCAAGATCAATTACAAATCCTTCCATGTCATATTCAACTTTGCTGGCACGATTCAATAACAACATTATATCCGATTTTACTTTATCACTTTCCTGCAAATTAAATCAGTAACATAAAATTTCGAAAGATTTTCAATTTAGTTATAAAAAAACTGCGAAAAATTTTTTTTAAAATCTTTAGAAAAAATTCGGAAATATGAAAAACCTAGACCTACCCAGACCTACCCGAAAATTTTTAAGAAATCTTGATTCAAAGACTGAAATTTATATTGAATAAAACTGGAATTATGAAAATAAAACCTCGAAAATTGATGTCAGCTCATCTAATGATCGCTCTTCTGACCTTGCCACGCTCTGCAACGTCCTCTGCATTTTATACGCCTCCTCGCTCATACCCTGAAATGAAATGTATAAACATATCAAAATTACTAATAAACTAATGAAAACGATTTAAAAAAAAAAGAAACCATATTTGTTGATTGAATTAAATCAAAATCATCGTCATCATTGGCCAACATTAATTCATCGTCTTCCATTGGAATATTTGAACCTTCGTCAGCACCAAGTTCTTTTACTCTACATAAAGAATACTCAAAAAAATGTGTAAATAACATAGATTTATTAATTTTTCAGATCAAATGTGCTCGTTTAAATCTTTAAATTTAGAAAAATAAGGAACCTATCAGCGTAGCGTAAAGTATTGAGTGTATGTTCGCAAGAACTCATCCCAGGACTAATCATAGCAATCTGTAACAGATGTGGCTAATTCTGAATTTAAATAAACAAAGATTTCCAAAAGACAACGAAAGATATCAAAAAATAATTTTTTTGCTGGAATAACTTTTCAAAATCTTTTCTTTTTTCAAAATTCAGTAATCAAAAAAAATTTATTCTGTATCAAATGCTGATGCTGAATTTATGAATTTTTAAATTAACTTCGGTTTTAAAATTTCACCTCGCGTGAAATACTTTTAACTAATTTTATTTCTCTACTAAAATATTTATTATGCATTTTTCACTCTTATCAATAAATGTAAAACATGAAACATCTTCAATCAAAAAGTAAACACCAACCATGCAAGTCTTTGCGTTAGAACCAATAAAACTATCACGTAGCACGAGAGTTAATTTTGAAGCACGAAAAGGAACATGAACGGAATTACGCCCCATGGCTCTTTAAACAATCTGGCTATTACACTAGAATTCTTTGTGTTTTATAAATAATGAGATATAAGAATGATCGAAAAGATAATTTTATTGCAACAAGCACCGTATCATAGTAAAAAGAATTTTCAGCAAACCTTATGCATTCTTTGAGAGCTAGAAGAGATTTATTAATTTCAGCACCTTCCATTCTCGTTTGTCGATCTGACGAGATCGTGTCCACACCACGTTCATTACCAGCCAAATCGATTAGAGAAAATTTGCCCCACATACGACCTAGCCCATGTTTTTCTGACCTAAATTTTAATCAAGATAAAGAAGTCATAAAAAAAAGCTAGTTTAATATATTGGTTAAGGTGGGCGGGCGATCGAACAGTAGTACTAGAGCAGGTACTAAGCAACAGATCTACTGAAGCAGAGATCTACCATAGATCTAGGATTCTAGATGCAGATTGCACAAAAACGTTCCAAACATAGTTGAACAATATAGTGCCAGGATATAAAATGCAAGCAAAAACAACACTGAAAGGACACTGAAAGGCATAACCAAGTAGCTGGCATCCTACATGAACATTTGCTCGATATATGATTTAGATCCCCTCCCAAATGGCAGATTCCTCAGAAAATCGTGGATGGTAATAAGGTCAAGATCCGTCCAGGCAGATCAATTTCTGGTCAATTAACCAGATATTGGCAAAAAACAAGTAAACAAGAACCTCTGGAAGAAGCTCCGAGGTTGAGGGCTACTACCTACAAGGAATGAGAAAGGGATTTTTTTTCGATATTACACTTTTTCGAACATATCTATCAATAAATATGGAAATTTATCGCACGAAATTGCAAAAAATGGATTTAGGAAAAACAATACTTCTTACGAAGGATTATTTGAAAGACCGCATGAGATCGAGATGAATTAGCATTGGCTGATGTGGTACCTGCAGTTCGAACTTCGTTCCCTTTTTTGATTAAGTCGAGGACCTAACAAATTTCATTTCATTAGTGAAAGAATAGGAAGAAATACTAAAAAATAACCAAAAATATGTGAAGATATCACACGAAAAGGCTTACATCTTTTTCATCTTTAACTAAGATTTCTTGCAGGCCGATTATCTGGACTTCCTTTTTGCCATCCTCTAATACTCGTAACATTGCTTTATTTCCTATCAGATCAAAGACCTAAAACAAATTGTGAATGATAGCACGAGCTAAATTATTTATTTTCTTATAAAATTGACATAAAAAACTAAAAGACTAAATACCTTCCCGCCATAAATTTCGAAGAAACTACAATAAACATGAAGATTCTGCCTTTTATATTCTTTATGCAACATTTTAAAAACATCGGCTGCTGTAAGCGCATAAACGCCTTTCGAACAATCCTGTAATTATGAAGAACCAAGCTTGTAGACAAAAAAAATTTTTTTATATTCAAATCAGTATTGTAAAAAAAAAATTTTTTTTATTTGTATTCAAATCAGGATTGTTTCATGGATTCACGGTTAGTCTTCAAATATAGTAATATATTTACATAAACAAGTCCATTCTGATTTTGAAATCAGTAATCTTTGGAATTCTCTTGAAAATGAATTAAAATGTGGATAATAAATGTAAAAAGGTTGAAAAGTTTCTTAATTTTAAGAAAATTAATTCTACTTGTGCTTTTCCAGAGAAATCACCACCCATTGTGTGTGTTTTCCCTGAACCGGTTTGTCCGTATGCGAAACATGTTGCAAAACCTTGTTCAAAAATTGTTTTAACCAATGGCTGAGCAGTGAATCTGGAAAAATTGATTATAGATAGCAATATATTTAATATTAATAATAATAACAAAATGGATTATTTAATCTCCAGAGCGAGAAAATAAAATTAAAAGAAAATGTTCAGTGTTACTCACTTATAAACCATCTCATTAGTGACATTATCATCGAAAGTATAATCAAATCGGAATTTTTGGTTATCCAAATATTTCGTTAAATCCACTTTTACTTGAGGCTGATGAACTATTAAATGATCACGATTGGGTATTGTTATAACCTAAAATGCAATAAAAGTATAATTAATTGCAATATTTCAGTAATAACCAAAAAATACTAGAAAAAACCTACCTTTCTTCATAGTCTCAGATATTATGAATGGTTTGATATTATCATGTTAAAAGATATGATTTTACCTTTAATACCAAGAGATTGAAAAACGATTAAACCATACCTCAATTTCTTTTTTCATTATTTCTTTTCGATTAAGTGGTCGTTTCCGTACGCAAACACAAATTCGATTATCGGTTACCTAAATTTAAAATAATTAACTGAGAATTCTGAGGTGAAAAATGTAGAAAAAATTCATTTTTTCATTCATCCTAACCGTTTCACGAAAAATAGCAGCAAAAATTTTACATATACCAATATCCTAAATAATCATAGTAATTGATAATTTTCATTGGTTAACAAAAGATCTTTATTGAATATTATACCAGTATATAATATTATATGAATACGTTGAAGTTTTTGTTTACATATGGAGTAATGAATGTTGAAAAATGGGATAAATTAAGAATGTATATTTCCACGCATATATAATTCGAGAAATTAATAAAAGAAATTTTAAGGAAAAAAATGGGAAAAATCAATACAAAAAAATTAAGCATTTAAGAAAATGTGGTGATCAAAAACACCTGGTCTGTCATTTTAAGAGGGCGAAAATCGATTTGTGACTGATAATCGCGAATCATTGATAAAAATTGCCAGTTTGGATTACCTGGATCAATATTTTTCTGTTGCTCCTTTTGCTTCTTTACCTCCTTCTTAAAAAATAAAAATAAAAGAAGATTCTAGAGAAAAATCTGAATTCTTAAAAAATTTTATTTTAAAATTTCTAGATATATCCAAAATATACAACCAAACTGCAAATTTTCCCGTAAAATGCACTTCTTATATAAATGAATATGCATATATAAATATATAAATATATATATATATTAATATTATTGAAAACATACCCAATCTGTTTCAGAATAACAAATTCACAACAAATATTAAATGTTGCATATGGCGGAAGACATGCCATACTTAATGGTATGAACTGCACTATAATTATACTTATAATATACCTCCTGTTTATATCAACTCATTCAAAATAAATGAGTTGCATTTTTAAGGAGGTTAGTTTCGCTAATTAACCAATTGGAGCAGACTTCATCTTTATAAGACTATATTAATCGGGGGATGAAAAAAATCATATAAAATCAAGTGGGTACGAAAGTTATCAAAATTAAAAAAAAGTTTATTAACATGGATTTAACATTTAACATTTCATTAACTTGCCAATTGTGCACGCCTTTCTTCTCGATTCCTTTGAAGTCGCTCGATTTCTTGCACGGTAGACGACTTGCTCTGCTGTTGTTGGTGCTGTTGATGTTGCTGCTGTGTTCCCTTTAGAGAGATGGCATCTAAAGATTCTAAAGTAAATTTTCAAATATAACAAGTAATGCTAAAAAAAATACCGCAATAAGCGTAAAACCAAAGAGCACTAACCAAGATCCGCACCCTTAAAACCTTTTAAAGAAGTGGTATCCAAATTTATTCGTTGTTTCTGAGTCACATTTTTCGAAAAATGCATACTGACACGTGCAGTATCATTAGGTTGATCTAATAATGCCTTCGCAAGATCAGTTTCACAACTCTGCGAAACTTGTCCAACAATCATTGACCTTCGATTTCCTTCAGAATAATAACATATGAAAACAACCAACCTTTACGCCAAAAATTTTAGAAAAAATACGTAAAATTTTCCAGAAAAAAAATAGCTGACAAACAAAAGCAAAATCGCTATATTGAAGTTTTTAAAAAATAGGATGTTAATAAATCACAGAAAAAAATAGGAAAACAAGAAAATAAATGAAAAATTACCAAAAGCCGTACTGATTTGTTGCCGAGAATGATTCGACAAACCATTACGACTTCCCTCAGCGAATGCTTCAGCCACAGGAATTGCTAAAACTGGATTTATAGCTAGCAAAGCCTTTAAATCGATTTCCTTACCTTTTGTTTCACCCTGAAATGAAAACAAAATAAACCAATAATTAATTGTTCTATTTGAGTTAAAAAATTGAATTGATCTTTTTTTTATTTTATCGTAGATTTGTAAAAGAAGAGAACTGCAGTAGCAAACATGGCACCTAAATGCACATCACTGATGAGAATAATCTAAAGCAACTATTCTCTGCTTCACAGCTAGTCAAGAGAAGGATCCTCAATGGATTAACAAATAGAAAAAAAAAAGTTTTTTATATTTGATATATTTTCAATATGGACTACATTTTCAGTTTTTATTACTAGACTTCTCGTTATACTTCACATTTGAAATCTTATTTGTAACAAAAAGTCTCGAAAGAATTCGAGAGAAAATCTTGAAGAAAACTGTATAGTACAGCCTCAGAAAAAAGCCCACAACTTTCACGATATCCCCAATGCACAATTTTCACCAGTTCTCAAAAAGGAATTATGGCTACGAACCTCTAGGCCAAAACATTTATTACTTTCAATTATCGCAAAAAATTCATAAAAGCGAACATTTTCAAACCATTCAACCGTGACACTCTGCGATTCTTTACGAACTTCACTAATAATTGCCGTATGAACGCGACCATCGGATCGTCGAATATCGACATGCATACCCACATTAACTCTATCCATTACCTTGAAACTTTTAAAGTGAAAAAAAGAAAAAATAATGAGAATAAAGATGCAAAAAATAGCCGAAACATCAAAATGAAACTCGTAAGAAAAAATAAACGATGAATCCAGAAAGAGTCCGCAAAATCACTGATAGATCAATTGCTAAGGCGAAATGCCACAAATAAAGCAAATTTGAAGACGAATAAATTAAGTGCCATGTTTTCTTCATAACTTAGCTATTCTGATGACTGGGCTCTATGAATTTCTTCGAAAGCAAAACTTAAACCATAGCTCGAGAAAGAAAAAGCTTCAAGTAGCTGCCTTGTTCAACTTACGCTGACAAATTTTTCAGAACAAAGAAAATAACCGAGAAAGGCCATGAAGAAGAGCGAAATGCGCTGCCTTCTCCCTATAAAAATAATTATAAATAATAGCTATAAAAGAACTTAGAACTTTCCTTTTTAAATCAGTTAAGCAACAAAGTACCGCCAATTTCCAATAAACGCAGTGCCTCGTGGCAAACCGCGACGCACAAAACATTTAAATTTTGACGCAAAAATAACATCAGCGAAAATCCAGTGGTGAAGAGAGGAATTTCAATTTGAATTCAATCATTCGTTTATCGTCTAAAATAATTAGCGCTACAAGTACCACAGTTTTCCAGTGGATCAGATATGTAAAGAAGAGAAAGGCTTATATGCACGAACGTATGAGAGAAGTTGGACTTTGCAACTGCGAAAAATTCACAAAGAAATGGACTATATTAATGCAAAGAGTCCACAGAGCCCATCTAGGTCACATAAAAAAAATAAAGTGGACAACTATATAGGAAATAAACGAAGACAGGATGGATTGCAAAAATGTAGTGTCGAAAAGAACGAGGTGGATAGGACAACTGCAAAAAAATGATGTGGAGACTACTGAAGACAGAGCAAAGTGGACTACATAACTGCAAAAATTGCCCTCGAAATGAAATATTTCGTCTCATCGATGGGCCGCCGTCCGTTCTTATCGATTCTTCTTAGGTTTGACGTGACTCATTTTCGTAAAGCCGACAACTATAACATTCGACTTCCTTACCTAACCAGATTATTGCCTTCGGGTTTTCGGTTCAGCGTTCAGTTTCGGACGACCAAGGTTATAAATCCTAAATTCGACTAAGAAGAGAAAATGTTTTAATTCAACATTTCCCAATCTGGTTTGATTTTTTTATATCTGATTATTATGCATTCGGCTTGGTGCTGAAGGACTCTCTTTCTATTCCCAGTTGACTCTCTGGCGAAAGTGCCCTAATAGCCAGGAAAAATAATTCTGGGCTTGGGTTAAACAAAAAAAATTTCACTACTTCCTCTCCTAACATCTCTCAGCTAAGTAAACAGAATCATCGAATTATATGATTTCCTCGCCAAATTTTTCCCTTCAAGTTTGTTCAAAAATCGATAGAACGAGCCGATGACCTTTCGACCTTTGTACACTTCGACCAACTAAAAAACTACAAATCTGGTAACCATCCCTTTCAGACGAAGAACCTATAGGAGACTTAAATCAATATTCCATAAAACCCATACAAAAAAACAGCTGAAAAACAAAATAATGAACATGAAATTATGACGGTCCCCCAATCGCGCTAAAAATGAACTGATGAGGCTTGCAACTTTTCATTACTACTTTGCGGCTCGCCCTTTATTTTTTTCCGAGAAAATCGAAATTTTCGAATAGCAAAGTGAAAGAGGAAAATGTTATTCGCAATGTTTCGGTTTCGGTTTTTAAGAGTTTTTCTCTTAAAGCAAGTGAATTGACTCGTAATGTATGCAGTTCTCCTTCCAATCTAATTTTCTTTTCCGATTTCCGATTGGTGAAACTTTTCTTATGGAAACTTTTTTGTTTAATTGCTGCTGTTTATTCTCTTAGAGGAATTCATTATTTTGCTTCAAATAATTCAGCGAATTTTGAGAGATTTCTTGCATATTTTATGGACGAATTTAGTTTATTTCCAAGAATTTTTTTCGAAAAAATACAAATATGAAAAACTTTGAAGTGCAAAAGTTCGTATTTTCGCTAAAAATCGTATTTTTAGGAATTAAGGCGAAATTTCGGTGAATGGTGCGTGAATGGTGCGCAATAAAAGGAAGAATTTTCTCGCCTTAATTCCTCAACAAGTTTTTTGCGTCGTTTCGATCGCATATTTCCGAACAGTCCATCTCGTTCCAAAAATTGATGGATTACCCAGTCGCCTAATCTAATAATTCGAGTTTCCTTTGGTTGAGAGTCATTCCGACCAAATCGCTTCATTTTCAAACTCCCAGTAATCAATTTGAATTCTAGTCACTTTCCATTATTGAATTAAATGATTTATCAAATATTCACGTGAATTATAATTAAAAATACTTTCAGGCGATCGATAAGACAATAATTCAGCAAATAAATGGTGAAATTGGCAAATTTGCTTTGGAAATTCTCGTCAAAAAGTGATTTTTGCGACATTATGATATTCAATTGAATTTCTTGGATTTTTCACTCGACAAATTATATCGAATTTAAGAAGTAAGCTAAAAATAAACGATATGATGACTATGAGACATATCGCACCACCGTATGCGATAACGATTGGTTGCAGTCGGAAACAACAGTTCGTCTGACTTACACCACAGCAAACATATAGGTGAAGTGCGGAACCGGCTGGACATCTTACATGTCTGCAATTTCATGTTTGAAGCTCTTTCTTGATTTATTTATTTTACTGGATGATTCAGATGTATTTTTGGTGCACTTCGCCTTCATACCTTTACCTTTTCACCTTTAGTTCATTATAATGATAAAAATCTTTTTCATTTTAATATTTTTTCACTATATTTGAACTTTTTACGAAAGGTGCAAATATCAGTTTTTCGTTCCTTCGAAACTCTTTTAGAAATCAAAACGGGAATTCACTTATAAAAACGATATATGGGTGCTCGCAGACTAAATTGATGTGGAGAGAAATCACTGAAGAGCATAGTATCACATGTCTTGAATATGCTGGTGAAATAATGCTTTTAAATTACGACAGGCAACTAGAACTGATATAATTGTAGGGAAAGATAGCAGATTATGCAGGGTTTTCTTTTCGTTCCATGCACCAGGCCTATTTAAGAAAACCTATTTTTCTAAATTTACAACTTGGAGAAGTGCCGAATTTTCAAGCATCTTGGTTCCACTTATAGAAAGTAGCAAGCGAAAGGCGAAGTACCCGGAAATACTTTCTAGGCGAAATCTCTGTGGAATTTCCTGGAAATCATCAAAATTCGCATTTATCTGATTGTTGTGAACGTTAACCTATTAATTAACAAGGTGGCGAGTGGAAAATTTTGAACGCAGGTGAGCTGTAGAGGTTTAGATGGTGGAAAAGGAAAACACTGCTCAGCGGAATTATCCTTAATAAAAGGAATTAATAGCTGAAGAATTTATCATGTAGTAACATTTGAAAAGTGAACACTGACTATTTTATTGCAGTGACTATACACAGTTTTACTGCATAAAATTTAATTATATAATTTAATTATAAAAATATATTCTTCCAGTCTGAAACTAACTCTACTATTGATCGATTACGACACCATTGGCCATAGTCTTTTTCTTGCCATGTTTTTGGTTTCGTTTGGTTCTCTCGGCCGTCATCTGCTGCATCTGGCCAAATCTCATATGAGCAATTAACGAATGGCTTAGAATGTATTAGAATATATAATATTGCAATTTTAGAAAACATCTGAAATTTTTTTAATAGGAATTTTAAACATTTTTCTGTAAAGCGCAATGCGCTATTCTCAGAAATGCATTCGAATGATTTTTTACAAAGAATTTTTAAATTTTAATAGTTCATGAGAAATGAGTGTTTAAAGCGCAAAAAAATTTAATTATATGTGCTTGCAATTAAGGAGACGAAAATTTAAAGAAAATTCATATAAATTTAATTTAGAAATTCGATAGGCAAATAAAATTCGATTGATTAATAGTTAATTAGACTGGTGTTCCACAAATTTCTAACAATTTATTTGGTGTGTTTTGGATGAGTATATTGCCAATTATCATTATTATCTAAATCATCATTTTCAACACAAACACTATGGTTCGGGCTCCAACCTCTAGCCAGAATAAAACTGTCATTAGAAAACCTGTTATTTCTTCATCCTCTAATAGCTTGCATCCTTATTGGTTAAGCTGGCTGGGTAAGAGTAAGGCGTTCCTAAGCGGTTCGACCCGATGTTTTAGACTAAAACCCACTGCAAAATCTCTTCTGACTGTATTATTCCACACTCCAGGCGTCGATTAGTCCTGCTCACTTCCGATCACAGGTCATCACAAGTTTTAGCAAATAGAGGGTCATGCATTAGTTCCATCAGTTCCTGTGATAAGTGGCTTGGTTTTATCATAGACAACCAGATGATATAAATGGAAATGGTATTGAAAATGGTTGCAATCATGTAAAATTTATACACTCTGCAAATACATACATTAAAGTCAAAGGATGTTTCCTTAATATCTTCCACTCTCATTGGCCATTTTTTTCGTAGATATATAACAGGATGGTGAATGTTGCAGCAATATAGTTTCACTTTAATAGTGATTTCGCAGAAAAGTTTCTAGCTGCCGTTGTCCATTGTATAAACCCATATATTGCTGTAAGAGTGGATCAAAGATGTTGTAGATACACCGCCTAGCATCTCTAAAATAATTGATAATAATCTGTTCGCTTTATAGAGTAGCGCTCTAGAAAATGATGGAATATGACGGTGTCCCAGAGAAGATCATTCGGCTCATAAAGGCATTTTATCAACATACCCTGGCGAAGGTCTGTGCATATAGAGTGAGTGAAATAACCCTTCGAAAAGAAAACTGCTATCCGCTCAGGATGCTTCATTTCTCCTACATTATTCAACTATACGATAGAATGGATAATGGATAGAATGGGCATTACTTGTTGGCACTCAAGAGATGTGTAAATCAGTCCAGAGCATAGCACCACAGACCCAGACCTATGAATACATTGATGATGTAGTCCTTTTTGCTGACAGTTATGAGGAAATGCAAATAATATTAAACAATGTGTCAACAACTGCAGCGAGAATTGGATTCAAAATCAGTGTAAATAAAAAGAAAGTATTTTTGTATTATATACAACATGCTGATAAAATACCTATTTTTATCAATTCATTACCGGTTGAGGAAATGCTTGGCTTTAAATACCTTGGATCCACTCTGATTCCAAATGGTCGGGCGAATGACGAAATTGTAATTCGGATAACGACAGCTAGAAATATGGCTTTCCGTTTGATGAAACTTTTATGTAATCGTTGTTTAATCACCATAAAGACGAAAATCTGCGTCCATATAGCTGTATTTCTTGCTATATGGCTGCGAAACATGGCCAATAAGAGTGGAAGATATTATGAAGCTATCAGCCTTTGACCACTCATATCTAAAATATATTTTACACGGATCCACGGATAAAATCGGACATGATTCTATCCATCTTCGCTCAACTACCATCTGTATTAAATATCACAGAGCATCGCCTTCGCTGATTAGGGCACCTTCTTCATCGTCCACCACAGGAATTGTCGCATATTTCGTTACTTGTTAAACCCTGTGATGCTTGGCGTCAAAAGCGAGGAGGGCCAGTCAAGACCTGGACTGGTACAATCAGAAAAGATTTTGAATATATAGGCAGACCAGCGATATATAGACTTAGACGATGGAAAAACGAATGGCTTCTGCTACTATTAGTGATGGCGTCGGGTCGAGCAGCTTGGAGATGTCTTACCCTTGTAGCCGTTGGAGCTAGCCTAACCAGTGATGTTAGAACAAGAAAGATAATAATCTGTGACAATCTATGGATTAACGTTTCTTGATTGTCAGCAAACAGTTCAGTGATCCAATCAATAGTATAGTTGAATATTGTATGTGGGTACTGGGAAAGCACCTGCCAGCTTTCCAGAAAAACCTACCAGTTCATCATCTGTACAATATAATTGGCAAAATGCTTTAATGAAACTTCTATGGAACATCGTCGCATTCCTTTACTTTCTCGAGAGTGTTGCTCTATTCAATTGAATCAAAGACAGCGACAAAATCAATAAAGCAATTGACATTTCTAATGAACCATAATGGTGGGTTGCCAATATCTGAAGCGATATCCCTTTCATAAAGTGAATATTCGGTTAACACTCCAGTCTGAATTCAACATGGTTGAGGCGCTCATCGTACCTACTCAGGAAGAGTAGAGAAGAGAAGAATAGAAAATACCTCTAGAGACGTCTAATAAGCTAATTCCTCGATAGTTACAAGAGCATTTTCTAAACAATAAAATAAATTTGATGTATTGACAATTGACAGAAAAATAAAACTATCGTAAAAATAAAAAAAAATTTGCCACACTATTCTTAAAAAACTAACTGTTTTTAAGGCTGTAAATTTCGCTTTAAACTCGTATGAAATTAAATCCTAGGCTAAAGAACTGCAACTGCAACTTTCAATTATCTCTCTTCAGTTTGCCTCGCATCAGGAAGTTCCCACAAAAGCCACAAAAATGTGGAAAAGATGATAAATGAAACGGACTTGAGTTCCCGTTATGAATGAAGTAATCAGTAATCTGGCATAAGTTTGATTATATTTTAATAGGTCGAAATTGGTAATTTCTTTATGAATAATTTAAAATTTGAAAATTTAAAAAGGATTATTTGAATTATTTGTTTGTATTATTATTGTGCTACAGTTTTTCTTTCAAAAAATAAGCGAGAAAGAAGCATTAGAATCCAATGTTATGATATTAAGAGGAAAATACAGATTGAAAATACAGGTTGACTGCTACACTTTTTCAGAACCTGCTGATGGAATATGATATGAATTTATTCAAAATTATGCTAAGAAACAAAAGGATTTTGGAAAAAAATCAGTATGAGGAATGAATGATGGATGATGCTCACGTGTACTTCCTGAAAAAATTTCTCATCATAACAACCAGCCGAACGAGTCCAGAAATGGTAACCACTATGGAATGGAATGCTAACCACTCACTTTTTCTCGCCATTTTTTCCCAAATTTGTTCTTATTTAAACGGTATATTGTAATTTTAAACATTACATAAAACGAAATGAAACGAAATAATAAAAGCAGTACCAATAATTTGCAGTTTCTAGAATTTACAATACATCTTTTAAGCAATATTGTTAAATAAAGTTAGGCTTAAGAAATTTTCTAAAAAAGTTGTTTCAAAAGGAAATACTCACCTATCAAAAGAAAAAAAGAAGAATTTTGAGAATTTTACATTCATACGAAGGCAGTCCATGTCCCATTTGTTAATTCTCGTTTGTATATATATATATATATAAGAAAATAGGCTTATAGGCCTTGGATGCGAACATGCTATCAGTATGCTAGGTATTCGTTGAAAGTACTAGAAGTCGCAATTTAATGCTAAAGATATTTTTCTAAGTCAGTAAATAAAAGACAATTTTACAAATGGAATTTTACATTTTTTGAATGACGAAAATCTGATCGAAACATAATTATTTTTCAAGAATTTGTGCTTATTCTAATAGGTGTACCTTCTTCTTCTAACAGCTCTCACACCATTATTGGTTAATCCGGCTCCGCTGATTACAAGAGTAAGATGTCTCCAAGCTGCTCGACTTACGCCATCGCTAGAAGTAATAACAGAAGCGATTCTTTTTTCCATCGGGTCCATCTATATATTCAAAATCTTTCCTGAATGTATCAGGTCTTGACTGGCCCTCCTCGCTTTTGACGCCAACCATTACACGGTTTAGCAAGTAACGAAATATGCGACAAATCCTGTGGTGGAGGATGAAGAAGGTGCCCTAACCAGCGAAGGCGATTCTCTATGATATTTAATACAGATGGTAGTTGAATGAAGATGGATACAATCATATCCGAATCTGCTTGGTGGATCCGTAGAAAGTACCTGAGTACTAAAAATGTACTAAAAATGAGCTGTAAAAAGCTGATAGCTTCTTAATATTTTCCACTCCAATTGGCCATGTTTCGCAGCCATATAGCAAGATGAACGAATTGCAGCTATATGGATGCGGATTTTCGTCTTTATGGTGATTTCGCGACGGTTCCATACAAATTTCATCAACTGGAAAAATTCTAGTGTACCAATTCCATTTTATTTATTTCTATTCACCTCCGGATCCTTTCATCAAGATTTACCTAAAGATAGAAGTTGCAGCACCCAGATGAACTATGAATTTGTAAATTTAACTATTTTTACATCATTTTTACTATATATAGTGAATTTTAATACAATGAAATATTTCTCTCGTACTTGCCAATAAAATAATTCAACCGAAAAATATAATAAAAATATATATAAATATAAATAAAAATATAATAAATTTACTGTATATATTTGTTATTATCTTTTTTACGAAGAAGAAGAAACTTGACCACTTCAGTCAATAAATGCCATGAAATTTTCTTCAGACTTAGTACATGGGCTCTGCGCAGAAGTCTCTGAGAATAAAGAAAATAAGAATTATCGAAATTTTATGACCGATTTCACGAATGCTATCTTGATGCACTTTTACAGCCAGATTATACAATCGGTAAAGAAATAAATTTGCAAAAAGAAAATTTATAAATTCTTAGTGAATACTGTCTAAATTTGACCCGTTAATATATAAATTTGGCCTATTTATACACTGGGAATAAAGAATCATCAAACCTATCACCGAATGTAAAGTC